GAGCCTCTTAGTCAACGATGGGGATTTTCTAGTGCGAGAGAGCACAACGTCACCTGGTCAGTATGTCCTCAGTGGACTTCAGGGAGGGCAAGCGAAGCATCTGCTCTTGGTGGATCCTGAGGGCAAGGTATGAACAGTTCATATACTGAAATTTCAGGACTGCTCAGATATTTCAGTCAAAATGCATGGGTGCGTTCCAGGAAGTGGAACTGATCTGATTCCCTCCGGGTGAATTTAAATTTAGCCAGTGACTTCTGTAGGTTTGAAGTTCAATTTAAGAACTTATAAGTACCAAAGTACCGTGGAAATAGAAGTGAGGTACTTAAATATTGTTGTTAGTATTGTAATTAGTGTATACACTTAATGAATCCTTTGAGTTGTTATTATATTGCTAGAAAAATAACCCTAACATTAAATAATGGATTTGATTAGTAACACATTTCTGAATCATAGAATAGTTTGGGTTGCAAGGGGCCTTTAAAGGCCATCTAGTCCAGCCCTCCTGCTGTGAGCAGGAACATCTTCAACTAAATCGGATTGCTCAGAGCTTTGTCCATCCTGATGAACTTGAATGTCTCCAAGGATGGGGCATCTACCACCTCTTGAGTGACCGCTCTCAGGTGAGAGAGTAAATCAGGAAAGTAATCCTCCGTGGGATTTAGTGAAAAATACCTCTCTTCTGTGGAGAAAAAAAAAAAAAAAAAGAGTTTACTTCATTCCCCTGGGCAGAAGCAGCCTAGTTCTACATACAGTCTCTTTAACTTGGTCCTCTGCTTTTCATGTCAGCTAATGATAGGTCAAAGGACAGGTTTCAGTTACTGTCTATAGCCCTGCTCCATTGACTTCAGTGGCTTAAACGCCTTTTGACTTCAATGTGCTAGTCTCATGTCCAACCATTATAAGCACAGTCTAACCATATATATATTCTTTTGCTTCTTTCATTAGGTGAGAACCAAAGACCACGTATTTGATAGTGTGGGTCATCTTATTCAGTATCACATGGAAAATAATTTGCCAATCATCTCTTCTGGAAGTGAGGTGAGCTTGAAGCAGCCTGTAAAGAAAGAGAGTAATGTGGGACACATGCAATATCACAAATAATCCCTTGGATCTCACAAATCCCAAGACAATTCATATCTGAAAACTGTACCGAGAACTTTCTGTTATGAAGACAATTCAAAAGAGTATAGACTGCACTTTCTGCTGCTGTTCCAGAAGATACCCTTTTGTGTGTGTATGTATGAATATATGTATATGTGTATATCTATGTAGATCTATAGAGATCAACAAGCATAGTTATATAGATATATGTAATCTTAATGAAATTACACCTTCGGAGTGTGAGATTCATTTGTGAGAAGGTATTTTAGACATGCACAAATGTCACTTTCAAGGTCATACTGAATCAGTAACTATTTAAAAGCACAATTAAACCTCTACATGCAAAAGCTCACTTGAACGAACTGCTGGAACATTAGTATGTGCCTTTTAGCATAGAATTATTGGAAACCAATATTATTTATACTGAATTAGTTTTGGGTGGATAAACAAACATGTCTAAGCTTTTAACTATTTGCCAAAACAAATACAATTTGAATATTACTACAATGCCATCTGCTTTCGATAGACACTAACAATTTCATTTTGCTTGTAACAGCACTTTACTAGCAAGTAATGTTTGAAATGAATAGCATTCACAATTCAGAAAGGTTGTCCGGTTTCTTAGTCATTTTTTATCACTGTCTGACTACTCAAAGATTTGAGATTATGCAACATTTACGAAGTTGAAATTAATATATGTAATATAATTTTGGAATAGAACTTGGTAAAGGACAAGCATGCTAGTTCCTAATATTTTTGTCTTGCATATGATTTTATTATTATTACCAATTAATACTGGAGACATCTCTTTTTAAAGGTAGGCTAAATATATTTTCATTGATTACATAGTTGTTTACAAACTATAGAAGCTGAACAAAACTAATCATACATTTTGAGAGAGAACTATTTAAAAGACTGTTTGAACTTTGCATGTGCCCTTATTCAATGTTCTTTCCAAAACAAGATATGATTTTTCCCATTCTTCACATAGAGTCCATTTGTTCCTAAACATGGAAAAAAAAATCTTTTAAAGGAAACCTATGAATTGTTTTGCCACAATAAATACTCTAAATACGAACAATCCTATATGCAGAGTGAACTGTGATTTCTTGGGCTTCCTGTTGAAGAAACAGTGATTTAATAAGTAACTGGGTCAAGGCAGGGGGGATTTGGGGAATGAACTGGTAGTCCTGGTGATGGCCTGAGAAAATTGTGCCTTTAAGATAAGCAATGTCTTCTGGCATGAGCGGGAACATTCCCTCTGTCTCCCAGCCCACCAGCTCGGTTCCATAAGGCAGACAATTGTTGCGGAGTTCACTAATTGCTGGAAGACTTGGCTATAAAAAAAAAATACATTCTGTTCTTTTGCCTGTGTTTGTGTGAAACGGGACGCTATAGAAAGAACTCTTTCCTCTAGAAAACAAGAGGGGTCATATACAAATAAAATTATTGAAGACATAAGCTTTCTTGGAGGGGAAAATATGATGTAAAGAGCCACACTTGGAGCTGACTACAAAACATCTTTATTCTTATCCTTGGCTAATAAGCATAAAATATATTTCATTCCTTGATAATAAGATGATTAAAATACTCAAGCTTTGAAACATTAGTAGTTGATTTCCTTGCTTATAGTCGGGCATCATTGATACTTCAAACTTTCAGACTAGAAGCTTAAGATTATGCCTGTTCTATGCAAGGTTTTCACCTGTGAAAAAGGCCCCCAGCGTTCTTTTGTTCTCTTGTGCCACCACAAGGATAGCTGGCAAGAAACTGTAGCTGGAATGTTAAATCCCTGCATGGTATCCTTTCTATTCTCACATCTTACCGAACTTTGTAATGTGCTTGTCGTGACTTTATTGAGCAAACAATGAAGCAAAAATAGCTACTTCTGTGGCATGTCAAAGGGAGAGACAGACCTGCATCGGGTGGTTTAGATGTTTGCATCAAAACTGAGATTTATGACAGGTCATAGAAGGGAAATATGCAGAACTCCATCTGTATTTTTAGTACAAATCAAAGCTACTCGGGACTAGAATAATCGTGTTTGGAGTTGTGACAGCGTGAGATCAAAGTTATATGACTTTGCCACTCAATATGCTGATTTAGGGACTTTTTTCCCTTCACCAGTTTTCGCTTTACCAATGCACAGAAACATCCAGAGCCAGTCTGTGATGTTTGGATCACAGTATGACATAGTCCAAGTCTCCCTCTTTGAATATCACTAACTTAAACAGAAGTAAGGCCAGAATCTTTGTTTTGTTGCTCCTGTATCTTTTGTAGGTGTCTGAAGCAAAGCTGTGAAGGAAAAAGGGAAAGAAAGGGAGATAATTGGGTGCTAGTGCAATAAACAAGTATCTAAAAGTCTTTTGATGTGAGAGAAAGCAAAGAATCCAGTTAATTACACATACAATTCGAACATAATGCATCCGTGCATTACAGACATCAGACCTTTTCCCAGAATAAATTATATTCATTCTTCTGGAGCCAGAACTAGGAACTCAGTTTCTAACCTTTATCTGCCTTATTTATTAGTGCTGCTTTTAGGCTCTGTGGACCAGCCATCATGTGTAAAGTACACTGTCGGCTCCTGTGGGGAAGTCTTAGAAGTAACTACGCTAAAAAGAAAAAAAAGTATCTGAATTTTGGAAAGTTTTCCAAAATACTGTTCTTGAGAAAGTTAATATGAATTGTCAGGCACATTTAGACTTTTTTCTTTTTTTAAAATAATTTCATGTCTGTGAAAATGCTGCGAATTGGTTAATGTCTTTTCTAATGGCTAGTATAAACCACTGGGGAAAAATAGCTAATTTTGCTTATAATGTCACATTCACAAGGCAAAGCACATTTGTTCTTTTTCAAAGCTCCTATAAATTTCACTCTCACACATTAACACAGGCTGTGTTTGCTTCCATCAATAAAAGCAGTATAACAAATGACCCTAACACCTCCCTCCTCCTACAGCTTCCATTTTCTGCTGCTAGGGCAGGCCGGCAGCATTGTTACTGCTCAGGGCAAGTGTCACCAGATGGAGCTGTTACATATCTTCCTCATCTCTGAACAAACACTCATTGTTCGAAAAAGAGGCAATTCCATGGAAGAATTTCGTTTGTTCAGAGACACTTTTAATTTTTTAAGCAGATGAAAGTTTGAAGCAGAGCAGCTCCCTGAGCACTGGCCCCTCTGAGGAAGGCTGCCAAGGGGAGGCTGCTCCCCTGGGGCCTCACCAGGTGAAGGCCAACTCATAGAATCGTTATCATGGAACGGTTTAGGTTGGGAGGGACCTAAAAGACCACCTAGTTCCAAGCCCCCTGTGTGCACCATGGCCGCTCTGTCAGACCAGGCCGCAGGGCGCGGGGAAAGGCAGCTGCCTCAGTGGCGGCTCCGCTGTGAGGAGAGGGGGAGGAACTCCCCCCCGGCCACGCAGCACCTCTACACCGAGAGACGCTCCCGCCGCCCTGACACCTTTCCTCATGGTGCTTGTCCTGAGGACAGCCCCCGTCCCATGACGTCACCGCGCCGGGAGGTGACCTCACGCGGGCGCCCCTCACGCCGGCGCCGTCGGGCGTTGCCAGGCAACCGCCACGTCTCGCTGCGAGATGGCCGCCCCCGCCCGACGCCCTGCGCGCGGCGCCCGTGACGTCAAGACGAGGCCACGCCTCTCCGCAAAAGCGGCCGCAGCTATTGGTCGGCCGCTTAGCCAATCAGCTAGCCGGACCTGTTCCCGCTGCCATGCGCGCCGGCTTTCAAACAGTCAGCGGGGGAGGGTTTGCAGCGCAACCGAGCGCGACTGAGGCGGGGCGAGGGTGTCCCGCCCTCCTTCCTACGCAGCCGGAGGATGCTGCGCGTGGCGGTTGGCGCCCGCGGCTGTCAGTCAGAGCGGCGGGCGCAGGTGTTCGGTTGTCATGCGGAAGAGTGCGCCTTTGTTGTGCTCGGGGAAGGCGGGCGGCCGCGGCGCCTCAGGTGAGTCTTGGTGCTCGGGATCGTGCTCTGCCGCCGCCTCCTGCCCCGCAGAAGCCCAGGTGAAGCCGGGCGAGGAGGCCCTGGCGGAGGGTGCTTCCCCGGTCGCCGTGAGGGGGCTGAGGCGGCGACTGAGGAGCTCCCTCCGTTTCCCGCCCCACCGTGAGCGATGGCGGCTCGTTGAGGCCGTGAGCTGGTGCTGTGTCCTTTCGTGTGGTTGCCTCAGGTGGTGGGGTTGGGGAGGGCTCTAAGGAAAGAGGAGGGGGCGGTGTCGGGCGGGCGGGTGGCCCTGTACAGCCCGTGGGGGCTTGGGAGAAGGTGGCTGAGCTGTGAGGGGTGTTGGCAGGCGGTCTCGCTGTGGGCTCTCGTACCTGAGGCTCGCACAGAGACAGGCACGTGTGTTGTTAGGAGTCTTGCTAACTGTCTCAGAGAGTTTCCTTGAGTATCAGGTCTCTAAACATAAGGAAGTAGATGATACATTATGTCTTTTAACTTGAGAGTAATGTTCTTGTAAAGTGTACTCTGTACCAATTGAGAGCTTCAGCATGTTCTATGCCTGCGTGCCCAGAGAATGTGCCATTCTGTAAACTCTGCATTGATCATTTCTAGTTCATAACTGCCTGTCAGGAGTATCTTCATCAGGGAGTATCTTGCAGCCACCTGTGGGCTAGCACTCGCACACTGTAGCTCTGTGGATGTGCTGCTCAGTGTAGACAAGTACTTGGGAGCCTGAGTCTTCATTAAGGAGTTGGATCTGGAACTGACGTGATACTTGTCGTATTTCCGTGATATTTTTCCCCTTTTTCTATCAAAGCGATTACCTAAATGTGCAAGAAGCAGCATACTTTTAGTATTTAGTACAAAATGTAGTTGTTCTCCAGAAATAAGTGAAACAAGACTTAAGTATGCCAGAACTATCAACATATATCACAGCATGTGTATACCATACAGTGTTAGAACTTGAAGAAAATAATGTCTCATTGTAAGTGAACTTTGATAATTTCATAATGTTAGCCTATGAAAAGCCCAAATAATCTGTTTTAAATGCTAGATTCTTAGAAATTAGTAGCATTGGGTATATTGAGAAACAAAAGCTCAAGTGAATGATATAGATAATGTATAATATTTGCTTCAAAAGGATATTTTGTTTATGTTGGCTACTTAATTTGGGAAGTTAGGGTGCTACTTTTTGGTTCCTCCCCACAGTTTTACTCATGTGTGATGCTTTCTTATGTTGTGGTAGGTTTTGCTGGATACTCAAAACATTATTAGAAAACAATGTCCCTTGACTTTGATAGTGGAGCTTTGCAAACTCAACATGAAGATGAAGACTATGACCCAGAGGATTATGCAAGAGAACAAGAGGTGAAAAAGAACAAATTTTTTAATCTGAAGGCTTGTGTATCTAGCTTCTTCCCATTTTTCTCTGTTAAGTGATTAAAAAAAAGTTTAATGCTGTCTCTGATAAGACCGAAACAGTGCAGACTGTGCTTTGCAAGAGTGGCATAAAAAGTAAAGAGGTTCTGAGATGCTGCATCTTAAGAGCCTTGAAATGGAATGCCTGGAAGATTGTTACTCCTAGCCTGTGCAGTAGATCAGATGCAAGAGGCTGTGTCACCCACATTTTGTATTTTTTGACAGCTTTTTCACTTACTACAAATACTTAGAAAGTTACAGCTCTCTTTCACTTGAAAATTTGGTGAACGTAGAAAAGAATGAGGAATCAGAATTTTAAAGTTCTGATTATAAATGATATTAATTGTAGAAAAATATATTCAAATGTTTTGGATTTTGGGGGGGGGGGGTTGAGTGGAAATACTTTGGATGTTTCTGATCTCCTTGTTTCCTAAAGAAACTGGCAAAATGTGTGTTTAACATAAATGTGCACAATGGTTTTGAGTTTGTATCTGGATTTTGATCCAGACTCCTCAGAGCATGTTTTGAAAGCTCTCTTGCTTATGGTTTAGGGAGGGGAAACCTTGGCATGATTAGTATGCAAATCATTCTTCAAAAATAATCTGTCCTGGGGCACATCTATCTGGTGGCATTTCCCTTGGCTCTTTTTGGTGCAGCTCTTTTCTTAACAAGAGTTTATCAGAAAAATCATTAGGTTGGTACTTAAGCCTTCTGTGTTACAGGTCTCTGTGAATTCCAGTGTTGTGAACTTTTCAGTAGAGGAAGAAAACCATTTTTTTTGTACAAGTGGCCTGTTTTGCCTGTCTCTGCCTCTTTGGACTGAACTTGCATGCATTATTATGAAAAACATATAATGAATGTTGTTTGTTCTGTTCCAGTTGCAACAGCTACTGACAGACCTTCCCCATGATATGCTGGAGGACAGTGGAGACCAGCTCTCCAGCTATTCAGACTGTAGCATTCATGAGACTGATGAGCAGTAAGGCATTTTGTTCCATTTTTTTATTTATGTTGTGCTTTTGAGAATAGAGCAAAGTCTCAGCTGATGAGGTGTGTAAAAACAATCCAAGTAAAAGGGGAGCTGCAGTGCAGTATGGTTTGTGTTCCACGAGGAACAAACTAGATGCCACTTAATTTAACAAAGAGATAGTTTGTTTTGTTTTTTCCTGGAGTTATGAGTACATAGCTAAGCTGCTTGTCTTTCTTCAGATCACATGAGCCTGGGAAGCATGATGGAAGGTGGAACGATCATCCATTGATAAGTGATCCTCAAAATGTAAGCTTGTATGAGGAATGATGTAATTATTAGGAACTGGTTGTTAATAATAACACTAGAGAAATATTTATGTAGGTGACATGTTTTGCTATTAATTTGAAGTATCTCTTAGCTTGAGGGCTGTTAACCCCAGAAAAAGGGGAGGGGGGAAGTCTGAGTTTTGAGACAGCAATTCTAAACCTCTTATCCATTCATAGGGTTATGAACAAGGACAAAATCTGTACCCTGAACAATTCTTGTGTGACCAGCAAAATGATAATGTTGAAAGACTTGGAATGAATTGGAATGGCCTACATAATGATGAAGACAATAAACATATATATGATGTTAAAGGAGACTACCGTGGCCAGAATAGTCAAGAGGATACTGATGATGTGTATCTTGGTAGAGATGAGTTTAATGCTCCAAGTATCTACCAACAGAACAATGTGTATCATCTTCCTGAAAACTTTAAGCCATATACAAATGACCGTAAACCAGAATTTAACATTCAGCAAAGTAAAATACTAAAATTTCCAGATGTTCCAAAGGAAAATCTTAAGGTATTTCAGAAGCTGATGCATTTTTCAGTCTCTTTTGGGAAACTTTCACAGGTTTTTAACTATTGGTTTTAATACATCTAAATGCTTTCAGTCTGCTATTGTCAGTTTAAACAGTGATGGGAGGATTTTGTACTTAATTTAAAACAATGAAATGTTAAATAATTGGATTTTTATATGTGCATGTTACAATTGCTTCTTTATTTTTTTTCTTGCTCTTGTTGGCTAGGTAGAATTCCATGGGGTAGAATGAATATGATTTATGATTCAATGAAGTGTGTGCTTACTGTAACGAAGTTGACACTTCACCACTCTCCTAAAGTGGAAGAGTTCATGAAAATTTCTAGCATACTTAAATGGTGTGCTGGATTGGAGCCTTAAAATGAGGTTCTACTAGAGCTCTTCTTAATGTCAGCCTCTAAAAGGAAAAATATTTCTGTCAAGCAAGACTACAGCTGTAGTTCTAATTTATTTCCTCTTATGTATATATTGTCAAAACAGCAATTTGTCGCATCTGATGTTGTCAGTGGCCAATCGCCAGAATCTTACAAAGTGACTTATAAACCATACCAAAACGGCATTCATCAACAAATCCCAGTAATCCAAGAAGGAACTAAAAGAAATGAAGTGTTTGAAGATTTGCAACATGAATTCCTGGGCAATGATGAAAGTAAGTGTTTGTTGTTTAGACTTGAAATAAAATTCTGTGAAAAGTCCACTGGAAATCAGCAACAGAAATGTGTTGATTTCAGTACATTTTTAGTATGAGGACAACTTACAGCATATTGATGTCTATGATTTTTTTTATTTTGCTTTAAGCTTACATTGGATAGCCCTATTTATTTTTTTTCCCCACTTTATTTGGAAATCAGCTCTTTGATCACGGTATTTGAGCTTCAGGCTATTAAAAATGTAGCTTTGGCTGGTGAGACTGAACAAAATTATTTCTGATGGCTTGATCTCAAGTCTTGATGGCATGTTATCTTGTTTGTAATATTGGCAAATAATGACTTGCTTTACCTTAGGAAACATACTTTGCTTGATGCCACGTTGGGCTTTCCTGTTAAGTACACTTCAAATGACAAAACTACTTTGCTTGTTTGACACCTTGAAAATTTATAGCTGTCACAAAGGTTTACGTGCAGTGAAACCACAGCACATAAACATGGGTTTTCTGTTAGGTTGAATTGCATTGGTAGTTCCTACAGTTCTTCAGCCATCACTACCAAAGCAACTCAGGTGATATGAATCAAATATGGATTAAAAAATGATGCAATTTTGTGAACCAACAGTGAATTTGGCACTGTGTGAAAGGAGTATCATGGGGTAGGAATTATTTATGGTGATGACTTCCTTGCTTAGTTGACTGCTGACTTGTCTGCATGCTATTTGAAACTTGGCAGATTCTTCAGAAAACATGCAGATTCTTCAACTTCAAGTTCTAAATAAAGCAAGAGAAAGACAACTGGAAGAACTTAATGAAAAGCTAGAAAAGAGTGCACAGCAGATTAGATATTTGAGTCATCAGCTTTCAATGGTCACAGGTAAAATGTTTTGTACTGACTCTTAGATTTTATTCATATCTAGCAACTCTTTTGTTCTGAAACTTTGAATTAGGTAGTGTCTTTGGAGGTATTGATCATACTTAGGTGCTTGATTAGGGATTATATGGACCTAACCCTCTACCCCCAACATTGTTCTAAAGAAAATTCTCAGGATTGGTGCCTGACTGCATAAACATTTTAACTTTTACTACACTGTTGCCATTCACTTCAGTGTACAGTCTGGCCCAAACCACGACAACTCTGGAGTCTCCATGCGCTAGGTATTAAAAACATACAGAAAAGTGAGAAGTTTGCCAAAGTAGAGTGTTAAAGGTACCAATAAAATAAAATAAAAATCCCAAACCCTAATAGAAGTGTATGTCTACAGAAAAGGCTTTTTTTTTTTTTTTTCTGTCTGGTTTAACAAGCCATTTCCTGGACTGTATGTAGAGAGAAGCTCTTCCAAAATGATAAAAGCCGCAGTGGAGACTGGTAGTGTATCTTGATCTCCCTTTTCTTATAGGAACAGATGAAAGAGTTGTGAGCTTAGAGAACTAAGAATATAATTTTTAGAATTGCAAAGGGAGCTGTCAACCATTTTGCTGTGTCTTGGTCACCCCTCCAGGGGAATGACTGTTTCTCCCTTTAAGTGGCGTAAGGGATGGTGCTTGTTCTTGTACTGGCAGAATGGGGCTTCTTTCCACTAGGGCTCTGAAGACACAAAATATGAGTGCTTCCAGCTATCAGAGGGAGGAAGTGGTTACTGGATGGAGACTGACTGAATGTTTTAATCTGTCCTCTGCTTGTTGCCCACAGTATGAGACAGAGGATTCACAGCAAATGGTTCTGTAGAGCAGGGATACTGAATAGCCATGTTCTGTGAAGTTGTTGGGTGGCTGGCCATGTTTCTCACGCAATTATTGTGTCTGTCTCTTAAGATGAAAAGGATGGTTTGGCTGTTAGTCTTCGTGAGTCTCAAAAACTCTATCAGAATGGAAAGGAACGGGAAGTGCATCTCGAAGGTCAAATAAAGGCCCTTGAAACTCAAATTCAGACTCTTACTACTAATGAGGAGCAGGTACTATAAATATTTTTAAACTTTATTGTGGAAGATCTTTACAGTTATATTTGTGGTGCATTTGCATCAACCATAAGTGCTACTCTCTTGAAATACTGTTCATGATCATTGCAGAAGCTGAAGATGTGATGAATGAATAGGATGCATTGGTGGAAAATAGTTTGTATTAAGATCCAGGCATTATCTGAGTTTTTTTGGCAACTCTTGCACCAAAAAACCTGAGCTGACATACAGAATATTGGAGCAAAAGTAAAATGTATGTAATGGAGAGCTACTCTTAATACTGTCCCTACAGATATTGAAGCAATCCAAAATGGCAGAGGTAGCCATGGAAAGCATGCAGAAGCAGCTGTTAGAACTTCAGAGATCAGATGCCCTTCAGAGAGCCAGAGAACAACATGAGACCATTATTTCAGCACTCAAGCAGAAGTATGAAAAACAAATATTATCATTAGAGCAGAAACTTGATACTACAAAATCTGCGCTCCAAGAGCAGGTGAGATGATATATTAGGACGCTGAGTACAGTACTGGAGAGGATAGAGAGCTCCCTATGTCTCCTAAACTGTATTTCTTGACCTGTCATTCTACTAACTTCTTCTGTAAGCTGCAAAGCAAATAGAAAGCAAATTCTGTATGTCTCAATTTTACGAATCCTATGTGACGTGTTTTTATAAACAACTCCATGCAATTGTGAACTCAAATTGTGAGTTTGTACATAGATGCAGAGGAGGCAAGTATTCATTGTCTTAGTTTCTCTCCTGAGCTTTCATTCTGTGCACAATCTCTCTTTGAAAGAGTACTGGCAAATAAATCTGGGAAAGAAAAGAACTAATTAAGAAATTATATGATATTCTTACTGCACGAAAAACTCTTTATCAGTCTATTGCCAAGCTTTAGTCTCAAAACAATCAAGAATGACTAACCGCTGAACAGGCGCTTTATTTTAGAAGTACAGATTTCAAAGAGGGCAGAGAGAGAGGCTGGCTTTAAGATCGAGTTTGATCTTGATTGTGTCACATAATTATAGAGCTTATTAAAATTATTCTACCTGACATTTTGTAAGAGTCCATTACGCTATTGGAAATATTCAAGCAATGTGGCGTAGGCAGGCCTTAATAAATTGTCCTTCTCTTTCACATAAAGGAAATAGAATTAAATTTCTTTAATTCTAGGTCTGTAATATTGTATCAACATAAACATGCATAAAAATAAATGGGTTGTATGTTTGAAAAAGTAACGCTTGTAAACAAGAATGTACTACTACATTTCTGTTGTAATACCACAGCAAAGACAACAAAGCTTACACAGCTTTGTCTCTACTACAAAAAATGTGGTGTTTTTTATGGTACTATGTTTGAGGTATTTAAAGAGAGGTCTCCTGTTCTTGAGAGAAAATGGAAAAGTTAAAAGGCTTATTGATGAGGTACTTTGCTTCCCAGATCTGTGTAGATAACTCTAAGTAGTGCCATATGAAGGTCTATTTTGTATATCACAAGAAAAAAAGCTATAGTTCCTCTTTTACAAAACATTGGAACTTGGAGTTTGACTTAAGCTCAGTTAAACTAAATTGAGTTAAGCTCAGGCTTAATATAAATAACATGGAACAATCTGAATAGTGGAGCTCGGACAGCATAGGCCTTATCAAGTGAGTTCTAATGTGATGGTTTACTTTCTTGATTTTTCTGCAGTAGACTATACGTAATTAATTACAAGGGGTAATCTGATATGCTGAAAACTAACTGTTCTAGGAAATATCAAATGGTTCACATCCATGTATGTTTATATGAGCATACTTACCGTCTCCTAATGAAAACTTAACTTTGATGCTGTAAGAGATGACTTGACAACCAAGAATAACATTTGATCTGTGACTGATTTAGCTGGCCTCTGCCCCTGTAGGTATCTGACTGATTCTTTTTCTCCTGTATCTTGTATCTATTGACTCTTCCTATATCCAAAACTGTCCGAGATGGTTAGGTGTTTGTAACATGAGTAAAAATAAACTATTTTTCTCTCTTCCTAGAAAGAGCTTTGCAAAAATCTAGGAGAGCATGTCAAGCAGCTTGAAAAAATGTTGGAGGAAACCAAATGTGAAAAAACTGAAATAATAAATCGACTGACAAGAAGCCTAGAAGAAAGCCAAAAGCAATGTGCAAATTTACTGCAAACAGGTCAGCCTTTTACCTTATATTTCTTTGCAGAAATGGCTCTGGTTTTTTGAAGTATGAAACTGCACATCTGTGTTCCTATTGAAATGGAATCAGCATCAAGCTAAATGTGTGCTAGACCGTTTCCTATGCAGTACATCAATCAGATTTAAATTTAGTGAAGTCTAGATTGAAGTGTAAAAAAAACCAAACCAAACATGCACCCCCCAATAAAAAACTATTTTTATATGCATTTTGTGCTGCATATATGTAAACTTAGTTTGGGGCTAAATAACAGCCTTTGGGAGCAAACTACTTATTTTTATGTTAGTCTTTGACTTGAATTGCTATTCTAAATCCAAATCTCAATGAGAAAAGAATTGTTGTTGTGGCTGGAGGCTGGTTCTTGGAAACCTATGTCTGTAGGAATAACACGTGAAATATTCTGCTCTTTGTGTATTCGACTTGTGCCTACCTTCACACACTGAAGTCTTTTAATAGTAATGTTAGTCTTCTCATAGAATTCAAACATCTTAAACAAAATGTCTGTCTTCCTGGATCCAAATTTAAGGGCATGTTCTGTTTAAAAACTGTGTTACTCTGGAACTAAAATCTCTCTAGAGAGTACCTAAGCATCAGGATAGAGAAGCAGAAAAACCTCATTGGACCTTTATTGTGTAGTAAATAAGTAATTATAAATGTGATAGGATATTTAAAAAGACTGCAACTGCCAATTGAAGAAATGCCGTGATTTTTCTGTGCTATATTAGTCAAATGCCTTAAAGCAGTAATAAGTTGGGAAACTGATAAAGCTAAATTTTTCACCTGGGAAGGAGGGGAAGGTCGCCAGTTTTCCAAGGTGGCCCTATTCCTGCTGAACTTCTGGCACAATGTAATTTTTTGCTTCTGGTGAGCTATGTGGAAGGCAAACTTTTGGCACATCTTGCTAGTTATGGTATTTGTTTTAAAGGTACTATTAATAGTTCTGAAAAAAAAAGTAAAGTCACAGTAGTTCTCAAACTTTAAAACAAACTGCAATTTAAATTGGAGATGTGTAATAACCTTTACCTGCTCAATTCAGGCAGAAATATTCTTTGCTTCATTATGTGTATTTTCTGTTAGTGAGCTCAAAGAAATAGAAACAAAGTAATGCCTATTACCAGAATCAACATTGCTATTTTTAACAGTCATCTTTTTCAGATTACATAGTCTTTCTTGCATATTTGTGACTTGCTCTTTCTCTCCCCTTTTTTTCCTGTAATAGGCTCGATGCAGGAGACAAATCAGTTACGGTTTCAGTTGCAACAAGCGCAGTCTGCACACATGATAAGCAGCAACATGAACAAGGCTTTGCAGGTTAATTAATTTTATTAAATGTTTTACTGTTTTGATTTTAGGGATGTGGGCATTATAGCTAAGAGGTTAGTTGAAATTCTTTATTGGGGAAACAAGCATGTCTCCTTTCAGTAAAGGACTACCCACTACTTCATCTCTCAGTCTTGCATATTGGACGCTTTTTTCTTAAATAAAACACAGCAGGGCATATGTATTGACACAAATCTGATATCATACATCTATCTTACGTGATGGAAAAAGAAGACTGTAAATTCTATTTGCTGGTAGTCTCGTAATTTATTTAGACTATAGGGATAGTTGGAGATACTGCATTCTGAAATTTACCTTTAGACAGCAAAAGGGAATGCTAGATAGTCTTTTGTAAAATATGAGTGGAAGTCTGTGTTTCCAGTTAATTTCATATATTGGATGTAATTTCCAAGTCAATAAATTTAAAAATCCAAAGAAGTACTAGCACAATAGGCTATTTTTCTAGCAATGTACTTTTCTACTGTCATCCTTTTTACCATACAACAGCAGGAAAGAGGAAGTAAGAGCAAAAGAAATAATACTGAACTTCATGTATGACCTGTAGTAAGAACAATAGGAAATATTCTCTGCTGCCCAGTATTTAACTAATTTGTAGTTTTAACATATGCTTTGCTATAGGTATCAAGAATGATAGTATAAATAAATCAAACTAATGCTAGATGATTTGGGTAAATACAACTAAATACAACTGTATTTAGAAAGAATAGCTTTATGTATTTGTTTTCTTTAGAAGAGTTATCATGGCCCTGATGTGTTTCCTTTGAGTTTCTCTGTGCAATGTAATTTTTTTCCTATCTCTTCCTTTAAGGAAGAATTAATGGAACTGAAGGAAGAAATAGCTTTGTATGAATCTGCTGCCAAGCTTGGAGTATTTTTGAATGATGCAGGTGGAGAGCTGCATACAAACCCAGGTGATTCCTATGTAGATTTGGGAATTAAGAAAATCACTGGAAAGAAACCAAGGTTCTGCAGGTATTGAGTGATATTTTTTTTTAATTATTTTTTTTTAAAAGAAAAATATAAAATCCTCATAGAAATATACAAGTGATGTGTAAATGATGGTTTGTACTAGATCAACACAGGTTTTTTTGGTAGGTGTTTGAAATACTTCTTGTATTGCCAGGTAATCTGGGAAACACTAAACTGGTATAATATCATAAATTGGATGCCTAATTGCTGCTTAACACATCTTCGGATTTTATAGGGACTATGTTGCAGTTCCTTGGATTGTATGGATTAAATGCATGGATACCTTTTTTCCTCAAAGATTCCACATAGTTACTTTATGCTAAATCTTTGCTTGTCTTTTGAAACAACCAGATGAGTTGTCTCAAAATACCTCGCATCATCTGAGAATTAATCTTTTGGGGAAACATACAGAAAACTTGTTCATTGAGCCGTTAACTGCAACTTGATGAAAAAGGATATGACTTCTGTATTCATGTTCTCTCATTCTTTTTACTATCACCTCTTAGACATCTGTATTTCTGGTAGCATTAGTTGCTCTTCTCTTTGCTACCATTACCTTTCAGATAAATGGTTTTTGTCTTTCAAATACTGAACTGGTTATGTCTTCCCTGATAGTGCAATACAGAACAGAGACACGGATAAAGAGCTCTCTAAAGATGAAATCATTGTAGAATTAAAAGCTGAGCTGGAACGTTTATTGAGCAGCAATAAAAGGAAGAGAAACCAGGTTACTCAATTACAAAATGATCTTAAAGATTGCCAGAAGACATTAGAGGAGTACAAGCAGTTGTTGGAAGCAGAAAAAGCATCAAAAGAGTCAGAGGTTTGTTCTTTTATGCTTTTTTAAAAGTAAAGATGCACTGGATTCTAGTGAACAAAACCAATGTTTAAACTTACTATGAAAATGGACCGAAGGACTTACAGCTGAATATTCATAGCAACTAAGTAAATCTGTCTTTGCTGTTAAGGAAAGTATTGTCATTTGTATGTTACCTTGTTTTGTATCTTTGGTGAAAGGGAAACAATCTGAATAGCAGAACTTAGGCAATATAGGCCTTATTAAGTGAGTTCTAATGTGATAGCTTACTTGCTTGTTAGCACTTAATGGCTACTCTGCTTTTTAAAGAAATAAATTCCATTGCACAAAGTAGGTTTTCTTTAGCCAAAAAGACCTCCTAATTTCTCTGAGAAAGCTGATAGTATCATTAGGTTATACAAATGGAACATTAAACAGACTAGCTTCAGAGGACCTGAATAATTTCCTCTTTTTTTAAATTTTTTTTAATTTTTTCTAAGTAAAATTTTTATTTGACAGCTTGAACTTTTTTTTTTAAGGCATCAACTTTTAAGTCATGTGTATCTTGAAAGGTATCTTAATTTTGTTTGTTTTTAGCCTGCCAAAAATCTGAATGATACTGTGGTGACCAGTCCTTCGGTTTCTGATAATCTTAAGGAAGAAGTTCTGAGACTCAGAAAGGCTAATGAAACTTTGCTGCAGGAAATTGAGGTGAGACAGAGATGCTGCTTATCACTACAAAAAAACCCCAACCCTGTGCTAAAACTTGCAATTAGAAATGGATTTTTACAACCCACCTATTACTTGATCCTTGTTTGTCCAGAACCATACTTCCACTATTGAAAAACTGAAGGAAAATGAGGAAAAATTGAAAAGCTTAAATCAAGATCTCTGTTGTCAGATGAGAAAAATGGTTCAAGATTTTGATCAGGATAAACAAGAAGCCATTGACAGGTAAGTCTGTTAACTCTGTTTAGCTCCATTTGTGAATTTTTAACCTGCATGTATAATTGTGAACGAGCTCTCTGGCACAAGGGGAGGTCAGCATTAGAAAGCTAGTTTCTTAAGGAAAAATTGAACAGCATTTTAAAAGGGGGAGAGGGGAAACCTAGGCAGTCTTTTTTTTCTTTCTTGAAATCATAGGTGTGAAAGAACTTATCAGCGACATCATGAGGATACAAAAGCACAATTTGAGAGAGACTTGATGGAGAGGTATGCTGCAGAAAAGCAGCAGCTTATTCAAACTTACGAAGAAGCAATCTTGCAGTTAAAGTAAGACTTACCATTTTTTTCACTTTTACCATAACTTTCATGTTTTCTGCCCAGCCTTCAGTGCTAGTTAAACTTTTTTTTTAAAGCAGACTTGCTGTCCTGTGAGTGTAAAGACTAATTGATAATAAATAATCTGTCCTGTGAAGGGTGAACATAGAGGAGCTGAATAAAGAGATGACTTCAGTGAAGGAATGTTACATTGGTGTCTGTGGGGAGAAGGACACATTGGAAGCTACTTTAAGGCGGAAATTTGAGCGAGAGCAGCAGCTGAAGGAAGAGAAGGTACTAATGGAAATTCCTATAAACCATATAATTTCAGAACTGTTTCTAAGTTATAATATCCATAAGTGTATTTAACTTTGTTTGCAGAAGATACTTGGAAGAGATGGAGCTATGTCAGAAACCTAATACATATGACCTATTTGTCTGATAAATTAACTTGCTGTTCTGTCCTAGGGTTTAAAGTATTGCAGAAGTAACTCTTTCCAGTAGCTATTAATTTTCACATAGTCAACTTTAATAATTGTGATTCTTGAGGCCTGCTCAGTCAGTAGTGAGAGGTTTTACATTCATAAGACGTTTTCCAGAAACCTGAATGACGAGTTTTCTTCTCCCTATATAAAACTGGTCTGAAAATACTGTGGGTTTTTAAGTAATATTTAATTCAGACTGCTATATTGATTTAAAGCTTTGCTTTTCTGAAGGTATCAGTAATAAGTGACTAAAGTAGGTCAACTGTCTTGATAAGCAAGTACAGTAAAGAGGTGCAGCTCAAAGTGTGCCTGGATTAAAGATCCTTGATAGAAAACTTATGTTAGAGCCATAGCCTATAATAACCTCTAATACCATACCTTAAAACACCTCTTTTTGAGAGCTGAATCTCTTGTCCAGGTGTCATCAGTAAGATCAGTGCAAAGGCTATAGATCCTCTAATACCATACCTTAAAACACCTCTTTTTGAGAGCTGAATCTCTTGTCCAGGTGTCATCAGTAAGATCAATGCACAGGCTGTAGGTTAATTGTGTGTCTCATGGATTCTCATAGTTTTGTACCGGAGCAGTTTGCTGCGCCTTGGAGAATACTTTATTTTGACATTTTCTTTTCTCTCTTTTTTTTTTTTTTTTAGCTCAAGAAACAGCTACTAGAAGAAAAAGAAGACTCTCTTAACCTTCTGAGGACTGAGCTTGAAGAGAAACACAGGAGTTCTATGATGGCAGCAAAGAGGCAGTGGTTGGAAGAAAAAGAACAGCAGGTTGAAGAGGAAGTTGCATTAGCTAAAGTCCACTGGGAGAAGGAGGAAAAAGAGGTGTGGAACTTAAACCAGGGAGTTCCAAATTATTATTTTTTTTGTTGGTTGTTTATTTTTAGAAGGAGAACTTATTTGTAGGTAGACTTATGCACTGTTGTTCTGCCATTTGAAGTGGCTTTTAAGGATCTGTCATTTTGGGAGCCTTTGAAGAAGTCAATAAGTATTACATATGTTTAAGATTTTGGGGAAAAAACCCAAACCCTAGACCTTGTAAAGTAACATGCAGAATAGCCGGAATGTCATAGCTAGTAGTATGTTGGAGTTTTCCACCCTGATACCTGGGCGAGTGGTTACACTTTCTATTGTTTCATTCAGTTATCATATTAAAGTCCTTTTTCCTGTCCCATAGAAGAAAGCTATGATGAGGAATTAAAACAAACTCATTCTTTACCAAACTCTATGCTCTGTGAGCATGGTTTTGGTCTTCTCCTGTTAGGGAAGATCATTGCTGTAAAAAGAGTTTTGTTTGGTAAATGCCAATGAGATTCTAGTTATTTGGACACTGGGAAGACTTTCTTAAAAATATATTCTTTTCCTAGAAGAAAGAAAGAGAATGGCGAAGTAGGCTGGAAGAAATGAGAAGAACTGTAGTTGAATGTAATGACTGCAGCAGCCAAACTGACAGAGTAACAGTTGTGGAAGAAGCTTCAACTAAAGAGTTAGAAGGGGTTGTTGAAGACCAGAGGCTACAGATCCAGAAGGCTCTGAAAGAAAATACGGCCTCTGAAGAGGCCTTAAAAGAATTTGAGATAGAACTAGAAAATAAATACTGTAAAAATCTTGCCAGCCAGGTAACAAATAATTGTTCTGTCTGCCTGGTGTCTGTGAAACTACCATGTGCAACTAAGTGTTCTCTTCCACTCACTTTCTCTTAAGCTCAGTAGTTGGTATTTGCTACATTAGAGAGAGATTTGAAAAAAAAAAAAACAAAACAGTTCTGAAGAAGTTGTAGCATGTAGCTTGTTTTTTCTAGCTGTTAATTTTTCACACAGTTGGGCAAGTTTTGCAGGGTTTTTGAACAGAGCTGAGAAAAATTAACTTAGAGTTTATACCATTTTGTTAAGAAAAATAAATTTAATGCTCATCATTTTGGTATGGGTTTTGCATCACAAAATGCATCAGATGCTGCTGGTCCGATTCTTTTAATTTCTGTAAACATAGGCAATCCAAATTGAAGTCTGTTCTTTCACTGCTACATAAAGGTAATAATAAAAATGTATTTGGTGGTGGTGACTGAAATAAGTTTATTTTTGTCTGCTTATAGATAGATGCAGCTTTAACTCGAGCTCGTGCCAGGTGGCTGCAAGAATTAACAGACCTCAAAGAGTATAAAGTAAATCTAAAGATAGAACAAGAAAAATGGGAAAAAGAACACAAAGAGACTGCAGCAAAGCAGGTAGCCTAAAATACTTGTATATGTGTATTGATAAACAGTTCAGTCTTCCCAAATCCCATATATTACTGAGAAATGAATGCAGACATAGGTGGGGAATCATTAAGGAAATGAGTCTCTAGTGTACTCTGGTTCTGATCCTTTTTTTTTTTGCCTATACAGGGTTATATTAAATAATTTTAAAGTCCTTTCCAATGGATTGATAACGATCAATGTTGTATTTTATGTAGATATAAATGTATGTATGTATGTATTTATAATGACTGTATTATATACTCACCAGTTAGCCCTAGTTCTCTCAGCTGCTGAAGAGAAATGGAAGAAAGAATATGAGAGTGCAGAGAAATCTGGACCAAGAATGAAAGAACTTGAAGAAAAGGTAATTTCTCTCAAGAAGGAATTGGACCTAAAGAAAGAAGAAATCCCTGCAACTATCAAAGCAGAACTAGCAAAAGCCCGTGCTCAGTGGAACAAAGAAAAGCAAGAAGAAATCCTGCAGATACAGGAGCAAAATGAGAGAGACTACAGATCATTCTTAGATGATCATAGAAACAGAATTAAAGAGGTACTTGCAACAGCAAAGGAGGATCTCGCAAAGCAGAGGAATGATCTCTCCATTCAGAAAGAGGCAGAAATTAAGATGTTACTTGACCAAAAGCAGCGAGAATGGGAGGCTCAGGAAACAAAGAGATTGCAAGATGAAATAAATCGGTATGAGGAGAAGACTCTGGTTGAGCTTGAGTACTTGTTGAGTGAAATTCATGAAGAACTAGTCAAACGCGCACATAGTAAGCATTCTTGGAAGGATAAGTGTTTTGATGGTCACGTTCAATTAGGCCATAAGCATGAAGACAAACTGAAGGTTTGCTTACAAAAGGCCTACAGAACCACAGTTTACACAATTCTGGAAAAGAAAGAGCAAGAATGGAAAGAGGTAATATTTCTGTAAACTATAACTGCAAGCCAGAAAATGGCTTTGCGAAGTCACTTATGCCTGTTTTCTCCCAATATAAAACATCTATGTAGTCCTGAGAATCAAACATTTGATAACATTGATAACAACAGTCCTTTAAAACTGTAAAAGAGGGCTAAATCTACCATTAGTGGTACCATTAGTGAAAATGGAAAGGATAGGTGTGGTTTGTGAAAGAAGAGAAAGTCAGGTTAGGAGTGTCACTCTTTAATGGCAGGATTCATAAATTAAGGAGATGAATCCATCCTAAGTTTGGGCCTTTTGAAGACTCCTTGTGACCTCTTAGGGGGGTTCAGTCATTCAGGCCCACCTTAGATTTCTGCATAGCTGCTTGCTGCTTTTTTTTTTTTTTTGAGAAATGTAACTGTCTGTAATAGTGATTGGATAGTGATCTCTAGTTACTCTTTCCTCTCCACCCCACCTCTTCTGTTCAAATAGAGATGAAAACAGTAAGTCCTTTTTGCAAATTATCTGGAGTAGAACTGAATAACTGACAAACTGATCTATGTCGGGAGTAATAGGCTTACTTAACTCTGTTGTGGCTCTAGGAAATCCTTTTCAATGTGCCTACCTAAATGAGGAAAGACATCCTACCCTCTTCTAGAGGCGTTTGGGGCTAAGGACAACTCTGTCCAAAAGCTTCTGTTGCTGCTGTTTTGGCAGATTCCTCTTTTTGCAATATTTATGCTTGTAGTAAATTTTTGATTATGGGGCGCATTCCACCAGAAATGCTACTGCCACCCAGCCTTTAGCATCTGGGTAATCAGCAAAGAATAAGACAGAGAAAGAAATTGTCTTGTTTTTCAAGAAAAGATGGCAACACGGGGAAATGAGAATTAAGTGATTTCTCATGACAATGTTGCCCAGGTTTTTTAGTGCTAATAGGTTTCTGTTCAGGAAGCGATCCTTTAAAGTTTACTTTCCATGAGATATTTCATGATGGTAAAGGGAATTGGAAGGTATTTTTTCCTATGCCTGATGGGTCTTCTGTAGTAGATATGAATGTCTTGGGATAAACTGTTTTTTATATGCTTTTGAACTTCAAAATGTTGATTGGCTTGAACCACTTTATTCAGTGAAGTCTTAGTAATTTCTTGGTAATGCCTTCTCTTGTGCTACAATAATAGCAATAAACAAAGAAGTTACATTTTTCTAGATTACTTTCCTGTCCCTCTGCTCCCCATATTTGTGCAGAAATTCCAAATGGGTCCAATTCCTTTTTCTGCTGTATATGCCTTTTTAAAAAAAACAAGTTAGCTTCACCTGTTCAGAGACACTGTATAGTTCTGCAATGTCAAGGGCTGCTGACACTTTCAAAATAAAGCTCAAGATAGCCAGGTACCGCTGTTGCAGTGAATTGTACCAAGTAAAACTTCTATATGCTATAGAATACACATTTTTCCTCCCAACTTGAGCTGCAATCTACAGTTCTGTTGCAGGTTTAAAGCACCTGTGTTACAATTACTAAAGCTACTTGCTGGCCAGCGTTGCTTGTTTTATGCGTAGCATATCATGTACCTACTTTAGGACAGTGTGGAACACTTTTTTTGCTATGTGTTGGGTTTCCAGAAGTGTTTTTCAATTGCAGAAATATGAAGAGCTACTGAGTAATGTAAATAAAGAAGCATACTCTTGCCTGCAATGTGGTGAAGGAGAAACTGGGGACATGGCAAGACCTCCTGTGTACGATGTCAGACACCAAGGAGAAAGACAAAGGAGGCTAAGACAACAGCCACCCTTGCAGGAAACTGGAACAGACAAAGGTACTGTTTTATTTTTTTAATCAGGCAAATTGTGTATCATCCAATTAAGCTTGTTAGTAGCAGTCTTTAATAGTCGATATCTTATTGATGACTCTAATGCAAGTTTAATTAGTGGATATTTGGGTGACAGAGGAAGATACAGTTCTTCTGAATTTCACTGAATTTTTGGAGTTGTAAGGGACCATAGAGATCATCTAGTCCAACTCTCCTGCTAAAGCAGAATTGCCTAGAGCTTGTCAGAGCATGTTACTCAGGACTGCATCCAGGCGGGTCTTGATAATCTCCAAAGAAGTGGAGACTGACAACCTTCTGACTGTAAGGTTGTTTAATTTTGCATTATCTTGTACTACATTGAAGTCACAAGCCGTGTAACAAATGGTATTGGTCTTCAGCTTACTGATTTAATGCTAGAGTTTGAAGTCTAATTTTAGTAAATTCTAGTAGTTTTCTGCTTTTTTTAAAGCCATTCTCCAGGAATGAAATAGCTGCCATATCTGCTGTTGGTGTAAATACTCTTTGGGGGTTGTGGACATGAACACGAATACTTCTGGTGTTTAACAGCTCCTAAGGAAGCCAGTGTTGATCATGATGAGCGGGTTATGGTCTAAACTATGTCTTGAAAATGGGTAATACTAAATCAAAACTTTGAAGATTGAATTATACTAGGTGTTCTTGACATTAGACGAGACAGGGAATTTTGCATTCATGTAAAATAGATTGTTGTGTCAGGAGTTATACTTTACTTGGCATGGTAGCTTTTCCGATTCTTTTGGTCAAGAACTCAGTTGAAGAAATGTGACTCCCTGGGTGATGTTTCTCTTTTCTTTCCTTCCTTCCCTTCCTCCTGCCCCTGTATATCCTTTAGCACTTTAGCTCTTCCTAAAGCTGTCACATGTACTATGGCAAAGCTAGAGCCAGTGTAGCTGGGGAAAAACTTCATGGGAGGCACAGAAGTCTCTCTGGGGCTTTCTCTTTAGTTTGAGTTCTTACACAACTGAAAAACATAAAGCAAGAAAACCCAAGAGAGCCTTTGGCTTTATGCCTATAGTGTGGCTTAAATTCCTTCAACACCAAAATAATAAACCATCTATAAAACACAAAACAATACAAGCAGTGCAGCTCTTCTGTCTCTAGAGCTCCCTGTCCTGGCCATAGGGAGCAGCCGTTGCTCTCCTGGAAGTAGCCCAGTCTTTGTGAATTTCTTAACTTAACTAGACTCAGCCGCGTGTGCGGCTTCCCAGCTGGGAGAATTTCCTTCAGCTCACTCCAAAGGACCATGCTTGGCGGTTGTTATTTTTTTTCCCTTTTAAAAAAAAAACAAAATTCGACCTACAAGTCTCATGTCACTCACTGACATATCAAACTATCATTGATGTGAGAGCATTGAGACTGTGAGGGCTCAACAACTTGAGAGATCCTGCTGCACCTTCTATAACAGGGTTCCAGCCTTTTGTGATTATTTTAATTAGACTAATTTGTTATATGCTTTCCAGTAAGAGACTAAGGAGAGCACTGGAAATAGTGAGGTTGGGCCTGGTTCTTTTTTTGGTCCTCTGCTTGATGGATAACTTGTAGCAATTACTGTTGCAGGTCAGAAATGCACAAAAAGGAACCTTGGGTCTCAGGAAGTTTTTTGCTGTGAACACTACTGCCAGGAGCTTGAAAAAAGAGACACTGTGTGCCAGGAGTTAAAAAAAGAGCTGGAGATAGCCCACAGACATCTTCAGCTTGCTGTGAAGGAGTATGAAGTTAAGTCAGAGCAAATCCAAGGTTAGGATTGTTAGTCACCTAAAGACAACTTTGAATCGCTCTGCCTTGCTGGCTGCATGAATCTTTCATCTGTTGCATCATTTACTTTTCAGTGGATGGAATAGATACGTGTACATACTTTAAAAACCAAACAATCCCCTTAAAAAAAAAAGGCAAAACAAAACCAAAACAAAATAACACAAAACTGATTTGTCTTGCCCAAGACACCCCACCTTTACCTTTTGGCTTAAAACGTACTTACACACAAAGAGTACTAAAGCAGTATCAGGAAAAGAATAAAGGAAAACTGAACATGTGGCAGATGTTCTTTGGATATGTGTACATGGGGCTCCTGTTGCCCATGAAGGTTATACAGATAATGCATGCCTGTACACTGACAGACGTATGCTTATAAATCCAAAACCAGCGAAGTTTTTAGCTGTCATCTTTAGGGCTGTACTGCTACTATGCACATACTCATCCCCCATAGTGGGGACTCTAAACAGTAGAGTGCCCCCAGATGTTAATTGGTTCCTCTTGGCACAGCAGTAGCAGTCCATTGAGCACGGTTTCCTTGTACCTTCCTGCAGTTAACAATAGTTTGAAGCTGTAATTCTGTTTATTTTGTTTCTTTTTTTTGGTAAACTTTTGAAGTAGGTTTTAAGTAGGTTGTATTTACTGCTTTTGCCTTTTAAATCAAGATTTTCTTTTTTCTTTGTCACTTTGAAATGAGAAATGCAGAAGAGATGACTGAGAAAAGGTCTCCAGTTCTTCTTTCCTATATGATGGCTGTCTCTACCAATGATAGACATGAAATATCCACTCTATTTTTGGAAAAGCCACTGAAAGGAACACTTCTATCTACAGCATGGGAATAAGACTCTTGTAAAGCTGTTTGTGAAGGAAAAAGATGGTGGAAAGTAACTTGCTTGAGATTCCTCTATTTTGGGAGATGCTTCTGATTAATTAGTGGTGGTACCCAGTACTCCTGTTTAATACAAAGCCCACTATCTGTGGGGTAGTGTTGTTTTGTTGTGACTACCTTCTCTTTGCTGTCCAACATCTTATTTTTGGCATTCTCAATATCCATATCACCTTCTATGGAAAGACTGATAGTGCCTTGTGGTAAAACTTCACTGAGACTTGGCCATCAGTTTAGTCAGTTAGTCAATTATCTATCTGACGATATTGCTACCTGTAACAGCTTCCCCAATAAATGCATCGTGTACATCTGTCATCCTTTCAGGATAGTAAACTTCATCCTTTATTGCTTTATTTAACTTTGTAGCAGTCTCTGGCCACAGTAAAATCTGGGCTATTGAGCATGAAATGTTTTTGGCATATGAAACCCCTTTGCCATACCTGTAACTGCTCCTATTGGGGAGGCCTTTATGTAGGCTTTCCCCTCAGAGAAAGTCTTATTGATTCTTCTGTCTCTGATGGCAACAAGAATTCCTTTAAGTCTAGGTTTATTTCTGAGAGAATCTGTTGGAGGAATGCCTGCTCTGCTTCATTCCTGTGCTCAAGAATTTTTTCTTTCCTTCTTGAGCATACTGTACCATATGGAGCATAGTTCTCATTTAGCTGGTATCTGAGGAACTCTATCCCCTCAATCAGCTATATTGAAGTTGGTAGAGGCCTTTGTTTTAAGGAGCAGAACAAAGAGAATTATGTTTTCTCTGAAGGAAAACATGTTGCTGATTGAATAAAAGGATTATTCTCCCTGCAGTGTTTTAATCAGTTGAAGCTGTACACAGTAGTGTTCATGATATTTTTTTCAGGCTGTCCTTAGAGCATGGCAGGAATTACTGAATGTCCTGGTTCAGGAGAGGTCTCAAACTGCATCCTCAGGATCAGTAACTCTGTAGAATTGTTTGAGCATGCCTCAGTGAAAGGTCACTGTGACCACTGTAGACGGGTTTGGCAAATGGTCAGCTTGGAGAGAGCAAATGTGAGGTAGTAGGTTGTACCAAGTGACTAGATAGTCTTGCTTGCCAAAGGCTGTGGTTTGTGTGTTGTGTAAGGTGGGTTTTTTCCTTTTTTTTTTTCTTTTAGTGAAAAGTCTCACTTGCCTGCTCTAAAAATCTTTGTGTTTAGTTAGGAGCACTAAAATGCTGTATGTTTGTAAGAGAAAGGTTTTTGACAGCTTGCAGATGTGTGAGCAAGGGCAGATGGGTAAGTTGCACAGATCTGCATATTATTTCTGTGCTTTTTTGTTGACAACTATGTAATATGCAAAATTCCTTGGGGACTGGAGGAAAGGTTGAAAAAGAATAGGACATCTGTTAACGAAAACAGAGGCTACTGCTGTCACTGAGGTCATACCAGATACAACTCTGAACTTCTCAAAATGAGATTCGGACTACAAATCAGGATCTCTGAAGGCCAGGAACTGCTTGCCTCTATATTCCATGATGGCTGCTTGCTCTTTGCTTTTCTGTGCATCATCCTAAAGAAGGCAGAAAACCAGACTTGCCTGTGCCTCTCCCAGGGCTCAGGTCCTCATATTCTACCCATGAAAGCCTTGACTCTTCCAGGAGGTAGACTTGTAATCTTTATTTTCTTTAGACTGTTGTTCATGTGAGAACTTAGGTGGCTGGATGCAATGGAAGTGTCTCCAGCATTCAGTGTCAGTGTTCAGTTTGCGTTGGTTTTGTCTCCTAAAATAAGAAGGCTAGTAATCAACTGATTTTTACAGGTCTATCAAAGTTTATCTGTACCCATTTTTAAAAATAATAATTTGCTTAGATTAGATAACTAATAAATAGGGTTTAAGGCTCTCTAACATTGGGGAGGTGACCCACAGGTGGGCTGTCTGTATGCCACAATCAACAGTCTTCAGTATCAGGTTGAAGATCTACACTTTGGGCTTTTTCAGCTCCACTGTATTCTTATTCTCTGTGGTGGCTTATTGCAATATTTATATATTTCTTAGAAGCATTGAGCAGAGATTGGCATGGAATTCTAGTCTTCCTCTGTAATACTGGCTTTTGGTTATTAAAAACCAAAACCGAACCAAAACCAACCAAGTTTTATCCTTTATCTCTTCATCTCGCAGAAGGCACAATTACTAACCTACAACCTAATGATTCTTTTCCAATGTTTGTCAAGACAACCCTCATTATCTTTTCCCCCTGTCCTTTCTCTACATATACACTTAATGTAGCTGAAGTTTCGCCTCCAGCATAGTGTTAGGAATGACACACGAAGGCTTTAAGCTTATTTAATTACTGTATGAGTTAACTTTAATATTTGGGCTTTGCTGAAGTGTGTTGTGGTTGATTCATGTGTGCTTGTTACTGCAACAAACGTAGCTGTACATCTACTGATTATGCTTTGTGACATTGAGACAACAGTTTATCTAATAACTTCTGTGGAACTCCACTTGAATTTAGAGAAGGGCATTGAATTATGGTTTGTTTTGTTTTTCTAAATAGAAAATGAGAAGGTTCTAGAAGCTCTCATTGCAGAAAACTCTGAGATGAAGAGTAAACTGAAAGACCTAGGAACACCACCAAGGTATTTAAAAAAATCTAAGCAATCTAATTATTTTTGTAAGATATAAGCTGCTTTTCTTATGCAGTGTGACTTACGTGCATTTCAGGTCACTGTCAAAGGGAGGCGTCTCAAAACCTTGTACATCCTGTGACTCCGTGAAAGGGCTGGAAGAAATGCGTGCTCAGTACATTAAAGCTGTGAGCAAGATTAAGTGTAAGTACTAAAGTTTTAGCTAAAAAGTGAGGAGAGCAAAATAATTTACTTTGTCACTTCCTCCTCCTTCAGCCAACTTACACAGGAATCTGACAGCCAAATTGCATGAGAAGTACATTTTTCTGTCTTACTAGAGTGAATGTGAGAAATGGAATTGTCACCGTAATCTTGGACAAGATTAACTGTGATGGGTGAAGCCTTGTTATGCCATCCTTGCTTTGTTGCACTGTATTACATCTTTTAAAGTGGTAAAAGCAACCTTCTGGCTGAGGAAAGAGGCTCAAGTGTTGCACCATGTCTTATTAGGGTGCAGTAGGTCCCCAAATGCCAGCTGTACTGCCATCGAAGAATTCCTAGACCTGCATTTTACCAGCCAACATTCGTGCCAAATCCCTGCACTTAATATTTTCTAATGTTGCTGAAGATGCAGAATTGGACAACTGAATTCCTCTCTCATGTTTCATATTGACCTGCTCTGGTCTTCAGTGGCACTTATCCAGTAGGCAATGCTTGGGACCAGGATTTGGGTGGAATGTTGACAGGTAAATCCAGGCCCTTGCTGGTTTGCTCTAGGTCTGCTAGATGATCCCAGTATGTGGTGGCGGGTCTTTTTTCCCCACTCTGGGTGAAAACTGGTACTAATGAAGTGTGTTCATAGGTGATATGCTTTGTTATATCCGTGAAAGTAAGGAGCGAGCTGCTGAAATGATTAAAGCAGAGGTTTTAAGAGAGCGCCAAGAGACGGCACGGAAAATGCGAAAATACTATTTGACATGCCTTCAACAACTACTTACTGATAATGGGAAACATGAAGGGTAAGTTCAAGTATGTTTGGAAATTTTGAAAGAGGTGTGTAGATGTTGGTCTGGTGTTTGCCCACCTCAGAGGAAACAGTGTCTGACCTAAAGTCCTGCCAGTCTGCCCAGGTTGGCATGAGGTGACTGCTCAGCAGTCTGCCATGCTGTCTTCTTTCACTCTTGCTAAAGTTACCTTGAAGTAAAGTGCAGAATTGAAAAGGAATTGCCCTTAAACTGTAATATTTTTTATGTTCATGTTCTGCAATTCTTGGCAGAGCTGAAAAGAAAATAATGCATGCTGCCAGTAAGCTTGCTACAATGGCTAAAGGACTTGAAACGCCTCTTCGACACATTCCCCAGAGCAAGTCTACCCGCTCAGGTATGTTGGACTCTATAATTATTCTCTTCTTGATCATATTGATTTAATGCATGTAGTAATGAAAATGCAGATATAAATAAATAGTGCTTCATTTTCTAAGCTTGCTAATGGAAATGTAAGCTGTGTATTTTGACAATGCCTGCAATTCTTTAGTTAAACTATATTCTCCTGCTTGTTTGTTTTTTTTCTTCCAGCATTAACTTTTCCTTCAATTAATGTATTTCCTTCCTCTCCTAGCTCTGCTATTAAATTCTGATCTACCACCTGGAGCTGAGTACTCAAAAAGAGATCGTATGCTTCAGACTAGGTCAAACCATATGGAAAGCAAATTATGTGGCGAAAGCATTACCCAAAAAGCCAATGGTAAAGTTGTTCAGAAACGTGTACCACATGACTTGAGACAGCAGTTTGATGCGGTGCAGACTGAAACTCGACATATGCTTCATGAAACAGTAACTTCAAATATTCAGAACGAGAACAATTCTAAAAATCTGGATGGTGCTTCAAGAGATGCTCTGCCAGAGTTTTATCCAAATGAAGATGGAAGAAGGGAAAAATATGGCCCCACTGTAAATGTAGACAAAGGACTCTTCTGTGCTGGTGGTAATACAGGACATCAGAATGCTTCTCCATCTACTTGTCAAGTAACACTAGAAAATATGCATGGACCCAATTTTAAAAATGACCATACTGTCTCTGGACCAACTCATCATATACTTAAGAGCAAGAATGAAGGAATGGTCTTGAAAGAGGATAAATCTATCCAGTCACGTGGAAAATGGAAAAGTAGATCCAAAAGAACTCAGGAACTTGGTTGTCAAGAAACTCCAGAAAGGGATGAAGGAAGCTGCAGTGAATGGAGTTCTGCAGATGGAAGCCTGCATCTGGATCGTAGCAATATGCCTGTCTTTTATCCTGAACCAAAAGCCAGTACTAATGTCCAAGCACAGACTGCATCCTGTGAAGAGGTTCCTCACATCAGGTCATTTTCACCTGCAGATGAAAATGTTACTTCTTGGAGACATCTTCCTAAAGGCAAGATTGGCAGCACAAAAAGCAGCACTGAAGTTTACAGTAGAGGCCACCTGATAACAAACCCAGAGCATACTTCATTCCTCAACTCTCAGAAATCAAATTCTCCTGTCACACAAGTCAATGTATCGCCAGATTCAAAAGTAGGAAAATGCTGCAATAAATGCTTAGAAAAAAATGGTGTGGGATCCCCAGTCACTTCAGCAAGATAGTGGGATCTTGCAGCCCATTTTCTAACTGGAACCAATACCAGGGAAGGAAAAAAAGGTGACTTCACAGTTAAATAAAAGTGTAAGGACTGGGGGAAACCTATTCTACTGTGTCTGTTTCACGATCCATGTTACACAATTTGAGTGTTACATGAAGAAATTCCATAAAGTTACTTGAAATATTAATGCAGACTTTTGTTTACCTTTGTATTAACACTTTCATAATTGTTTATAGTGTACTATATACAAATCTATTAAATAGTATCTATTTTTTTACTAACTTTAGCTTGCAGTGCGATTTTTATCTAAAACAAAGCTACTGTAACTTGTGGTAATCTTTTTAAGTGCTTCTGAAAATTCCCTCAAAGCTCAATGAGAGATGTTTTATGATTTGTTTGAAGCATTTTAACTGACTTTCCCATTTTGAAGGACTCATTTAAGCCCCTGTGCACATCGCCATAATAAAAGCAAAAATACTTGCATTTTTTCATTGAATTATTATAACAAATTAAATTTCAAGTATTCTTCCTTTTGGTACAGCAAAAAATAGTTTGTACTGGGCAGAAGAAAGGTATGAATTAGAATGACCATGTTTTGCAGGTGTTCCTTAAAAAGCATTGGTTATCAAAGTAAATTGAAGATGTAGTGATGTTCCTCCTGGTGCTTAGAAAGCTTCTACTTTAAAGACCTGCTCACATTTTTGAAGCAATTACCCTGGTGCTTAGAAAGCTTCTACTTTAAAGAACTGCTCACATTTTGGAGCAATTATGGAATGTATCTCTTCTCTAGACGTTTTGCTCTCCTTGGGATGGCATTTAATTTCTAGTGATCCTGTGAGGAAAAGAGGTGGTTTGCTGGTGGTGTGATTAAATCATACTAATTGCAATTAATTATATGGTTATGGGCCAGCAATTCACATCAACAGTAATACAGAAAAAGTAAACAAAAAGTTTTTGCTTGCTATTACTAGGTGATATTAGAAGAAGAAAAAAGACTGAATATTCTCTCAAAGATGATGTATATGCCTTTCACATGTAACAATGTTTAGCTGCTGTAAGGATGCTCGTTTGGTCTTTCAGAGCTGAACAGCACAGTCTAGTCTGAGAATCTTTTCAGTTTTGGAAGGAAAATAGTGCAAGAATCACAGAAATCTTCTGAAGAAAAATGTGTTTAACTTCCTTTACGAAACCGGCCTCCCTGTTTACATTTCAGGCCAACTGGCAAGGCAGAATACATTGCAGCTCTTGGTACACAGGACTGGTTTTGTGACTTGAGACTCCCAGGCAATCTAATGAGAGACTTCTAAATTTCTTGGTGGCCTTTAATGCTGCCCATAAATCCAACCCCGCTTCCTCTCTAGTGAAGGTGGGGTTTGTCATCATCAGTGGGAGCAAACTGAGGCCATGAGAGACCGCTTCTGCCTAAACAAACATGGGCAGTGGTTAAGTTCAAGGGCCAAATTCCGAGCTCTTAGCTGAGGAAATAGCTGTGGCCTTGTCTGCAGGGGAAAGTTTTTTACTACTTGTCCTCTAAGATCCATGTGGAGGCTTTTTTTCAATAATCAGTGGCTTTTTTTGGTTAGCTTAAACATATTCCCAAGTTGCATAAGGTAAAAAAGCACATTTATTCGCCTGTGAGAGGTACTTGTTCAAGTGCTTTAAAAAAATTAATCAGATTAATTAATTCCTTGAGCTTGTCCAGAAACCTTCCCCAGATAAAGAAAGCCTGCATCTGTAAAAGTAAACATCGAGCTGTCCTGTAGGACATCCCTGATACCATTCAGATAGAGCGTCTGAGGACCCATCCTCTCATTGTTGTGGACCAAACACACTTTTCCAAGTAATTCTTCATCCAAGGTGGGTTTGAGAGCTTCTCTGTAGTTGCTTCCCAAAATGTTAATTGGCTCAGTGCCAACATGCAAACCACTCTTAAAATTCTCCTAAAATATAATGTTTTACTGTACACTTTATTTCTGTTGCCTTGATCGATGTTTGTGTGCATAACTCTTACTGTCATTTCTCTGTAGCTTTTAAATTCCTGTGTTTAAAAGCCCAGTGGTTTCAGTGCAGAATGAAGTAATTAATGATCCTAGTCCTGATAAAGCTTTGAGCAGCTGAGGATTTTTACGCATTTGATTTAGAAGCTGGGGGTCCCACACTGATAAGAAGGAGTCTTCTGCATTACTGACTGCTCTAGAGAAAGCTGAGGGTATGGCAGATCCCAGCTACAGCAAGGAACCAGGGGAGCTGAGGAAACCAACGGAGTGTAGCCAGATGTGAGATGGTTCTCATAGGTGTTCTTCCTCTCTTATGGAGCAGATGCAGTTGGGGCAAAAGAGGGAGGCTGGGGTAGGAATCTTTCCAATTCCATCTAGTAAAAGGAAGAATATTTAAATGTGGACACTAGGTGCCCAGCTGGATTTGGTTGCTGTTGTATTGTAAAACATCACAGTACTGGGAACTTCACTGACCAAAATTGCAATGTATGTGAGAATGTGGATGTAGGCAGAAATTCGGTTAAATCCTTGCTCGCTTGCCTAATGTTTGTTGTGTGTCTTGTTGCATTGACAACTCCAGAGAGCTCCCAAGCTGCCAAGGGGATTTTCAGTTTTCCTTAATGAGAATCAACTGCAGAGGCCTGGAGGGAAGATCCATACCCAAACAGCAGCAATCATTCCCTGGTGAGTAAAGTTTGAGGAACAAGGAGATTATTTAGCCTAGGAATCAACAACTCCTAGTCAAAAGCATTCCTCAGCCCTCCTTCGAATGTCAGTAGGAAAGAATGAAGCAATAACCAGCTAGCATAGGGGGTGGCAGCTCCTGAAACTGGACAGCTGACACCAGTCGGAAAGGGGGAGGTAGTGTTGCAATACATGTGGTTGGACTTGTATTGTCAAGCCAAGATTGTAACAGAGCCACTAAATGAATATCTTAAAATACATTTGCCATGTATTTTCGCCTACTGTGTTATACTGCTGAAATAACTTACCTGTTTCATTCAAGAATTCACTACCTACTGTTGATTCCTTGTTTTAATATTTAATTTATGCTATAGGAGCCAGATCTAATATTATTCTAGTGATGTTGCAGTTCAGCACTATTTAGATATAAACTTTGTTTAACAACACCTCGCCCTCAAAGTAGCAGAATGCAGTGGTACTCTTTTCTCTGCTCTATTTTTGTTCTTCATAATTTTTTTCGCTTATTTATCTTACAGGTATAGTATATATGCTTAGAACAGCCTCTTTGTAAAAATGTATCACTAATTGATACTAAAATATCGATAGGATAGAAGCTATTTCCAAGATGACTCTTTCATACTATGTTTAAATGGTAATTAAAACTTACATTACAGATCTTTTATGTAGTTAATCATGCATAAAATGCTTATTTGTAATGTATAGAACACAACTGCACAGGTTTTGTCTGTAATTCGTGCATATTTTGAATAATTAATACATTAATTATTGTTCTTGGGTTCTAGTATTTTAGCTTGTCTCTTCAGTGACCTTTCAGCTGGAACAAGAAACACCTGTAGCTATTAATGAAAAAAAAGTTAAGAATAGATCTTGCACAAATTATTTAAATTTCCACATTATTTTTGGAAATAATCTGAAACCTTGTCTCCTATCACAGCAAGCTGCTGTGCACAAGAATAGTTATCTGAGTAGGAAGTGAAGCCATGAGAGCTTAGGTAGCTTGCTCAGAAAGTTAGGAAACCTGAACAGGGAATTAAAAGAAGGGTCTTTTAAGTCTTAGACCAGTACTTTAACCACTAAATTACCTTTTATTTCTACTTGATGGGTTTACACTTCCTTCATTTTTCTTCTCTTCTAGTCTGGTTTATCCCCTTGTACTATTTTTTTGAATTCCCTTTGTCTTTATATCAGTAGGTTTTCTTTTCTCTGGCTTTGCACTTAGCCTCTTTTCTTTTTCTTTTTTTTCTTTCCTGATTTTAATGTTGGCCTCTCTTTCTTTTTGGCTTTGCATGGACTCCTTTTTTTTTTCTTTCCTCCTTTGTTTGAGCTTCATGTTGTTTTAAGAGGTATGTGGCTCCCCCAATCCTCTTGTTCAGCCTTTGCTGGTGAGAAATAGTTTCATCTTTATTAATTTCTTCTCCAGAGTGACAGATATTTCTTTTGTGTGTGTGTGTTATCTGATTCATGATATTAATGAATCACAATTTACATAATATCACAGGTCTTCTCCACCTTTACCTTTCTAGAAAGACTATGCAGTCTTTTTTTCCTGCTGCAAGGCAGAATCAGCTATGCTGATGCTGGTCCTAATCAATGTGTGTCCACTATGTTCTGAAAGATCTCCAGTAATGGAGACTCTACAACTCCCAGACAAATCCTTTCCAGTATTATCCTTACTGCTGGAAGGCTGTGTCTTACCTGAACTCTTTCGCTGCAGTTTAAGCCCATTACTGCTTCTCCAACGTTCAAAGGACATGAAATAGGGATTTATTTTATGTCATGCTTAAAACCTACTATTTTCCTTTCAATCTTTTTTTCTTAAATCAGCTTTTAAGATGTATAGATCTGTTGCATGCAAATGTGGAAAGAGTCCCAAAGGAGAGCAAATGGTAAATGGAAGAAAACTAAACGGAACAGTCTTGGTCCTACCATGCCTGGTAGTTTTCAGACTGGTTCACCTGGTTGTCTGTTCTTCTGCAGAATTTCTACACTCTCTGCAAAACACTCTATCTGTGATTGTGAAAGCCTTTCACGATTTTGATGATTAAATCCAACCTGTGGATATGAAACTAAGGAGAGCCCTGGCTTGCTTGCATTCCCAGGATTTCCTTACACCTTTGGAATTTCACATCTTGTTACTCTTACCTTTTGTTTTAACTCTGTAGCTGGTACTTTCCACTGCAGTTTGGAGATCTACTTACTACTTTATAGTGTCCCTTTTCCCATAAAATCTCAAGCTGGGTATACTTCCAGAAGTATTGGGATACACAGTCACATATATATATTTTAGTCATTCATCCTTAAAATTTGCTGTCAAAGCCATTCTTCTGCTGTTGGAACTCTGTTCTCATGTTTCCCTTTGTTCTGTGGGAGTTGCTAAGATTTCCCATTGAAATTTATTTTAAACGTTTGCTCTTTTGTGCAGATTCACTGCACAGTTCTGTCTCCCACAGTGTAGATGGGTTACAATGGAGACGATGGTAACCTGGCAGTGATACAGGAGCACATTACTTGCAGCTGTAGCGAGATTTCACCCAGCATTCTGATGCAGAGTACTTCACACTTCCAAATTAATCATGCGT